CAAAGTCAGAAGGTATTTGCTCCCGAGGGGATAGGACAGAATCAAACTTTAAACTCCTGTAGGTACTTTAACGCTCATTAAGAACTTTGGAATTCATGACTGAGGTTTAACAATTCACTGCACCCATTAAACAAGAGGTATGGACTACCATGGAAGAAATAATTTATAGAAACTAATCTGGAAACCATAAAGTGATGTTAAATTCTAACTAGAGATATACCTTTCATGCCCCTCTGTTTAGGTATTGGCTAATGACCCAATTATTTACACAATATGCAAACTAAGGGTTGTAAGGTTGGGTGATTTGTATTTGGTACTGAGGCAGGGTCTCTTGGCTCCTAATTGCAGAAAAAGATTAAGTGAAAGGTTAATTGGGTACTAAACAAGTCCTCGTGACAAACAAGGATCACAGCTCTTCATGAACAGGCATCCTTCATAAACATAACTTAAATTGTGAACATGAAGGTCTTTGTGACATATTAGGGAAAAAAGCTTAACTAACCACATAATTCAGAATTTTGTCAAGGGTATTCATGAGTTATTTCACAGTTTCTTAGAAGCTTACTCTAAAATCTATTAGCTTAATTCAGCATAAGTGCTAATAATAATTTTCTAATTTGAACACCTGATTTTCAACAACCAAAATGAATGTGGCAATGTCTATCAAAGAGCTATGCCCTAGATAAACAAAAACAACCTCACATGCTTGTGCACATATACCCACAGACACAAAACAGTAGTTATGCCTGCAGAATACAAAATTACACGGTGAGCAATGGCTTTCTTCTATTTCCTGTCAAAAGATGCATTCCTATGAGATGCCCACTCACATATATTCCAAAATGAAAATAAAGATTTATCTATGTATCAAAAGGTCAAGTGACATTACAAGTTGAAAATCTGGTCTTTTTGCTATGGATTAGATAAATCTGCTTGTCTTTCTCTTTAGAGCAGACATTAGTAGGATAGTAAACACTGGGCAAAACCCCTAATGCACCATCAGAGAATACCCAAAAGAAAAAAAAATTAAAAGCCTTTCTTTTAAAAAAATAAAAAAAAAAAAGCCTTTCTTTTTTTTTAAGATTTTATTTATTCATTTCAGAGAGAGAGCATGAGCTGGGGCCGGGCAGGGGGAATGGGGTGCAGAGGGAGAAGCAGATTCACTGCTAAGCAGGGTGCTCAATCTCAGAACCTAGAGATCATGACCTGAGGTAAAGGCAGATACTCTACTGACTGAGCCACCTAGGCACCCCAAAAGGCTTACTTTCTATAGAAATTTTTCATTTTATCTTTAACCTAAATGACTTGTAAATGTCTGCTACTTTAGAATGAATATGATTTTTTTTAAGTTTTTGCTACAAAACAAGTTGAAACAAAGTACACTTATTTAGTGAAGATAAAAAATTTTCATCAGCTTCATTGCCAGGTACCTAACTGGTCTCAACAAGCCTGTTGACCCTTCATTCTGAGAAAGAGAAGAAAGGGATAACAAAACTCTATCCTAAATATGAGAGACATTGATGAGTGGCAAGTTAGGAGGAAGCAAAATAAATACAATATCAACTTCTAGAATTTCCCCATAACCCCAGTTGTGGTATGGCGGTTAAACTAAGGGTACAGACAGTAAGACAGTCCCTGGACTCCTCTTCCTGAAAGAGAGACAGGCAACAGTTCACAACCTTCTTCACAAAGGTAAGGATACAGAGCTTGGAGGAAATCTTCTAAAACCAACCCACAAAATCAAAATTGTTTTTACCAATGTCAAATATTCAATTGCTTTCCATTCTAAGTAAAGACTAAACATCTGCTTCCACAAATGTTAATGTATCCTCTAGAGTACTTTCCAACTCAAAGAAGAAATCTCCCTCTCTTATTCCCTCAATCAGAATAAAGAATAGAAAACACTTAGTAGCATTCCAGATAATTTGTGCCAATTTAGATGATTCATGTATCGCTTTCCCAGACTAAATGGTCTATGGCCAGTGCTTTCAAGTCAACAAGGGTGCGGAGAGCAAGACCTAATTACAGGTCTGAGTCACTGTCTACCAGTTCTCTCAGATCCATGGTCCATCCCCCACAAAGGCACCATTTCATTATGAGGTATAAAATCCAGCCAAGTCTACAATCCCTTTATATAAAAAAATAAATAAGAAGGTATCATTACACATACACATACACACACAAAACAAAAACATCAATTCACAGGACTGATTTCTCAAAAGAATAATTTCAATAGGCTTATTCCATCAAAAAGCAACTATAACACTAAATTTTGAATAAAAAATGCACATAAAACATACTATGGGATTACAATTTAAATGTCTTGCATTTCTTGTATTTATATTTGGCCTGACGTACAACATGGCGTGCTATCTTAAATTCTGATCATCTTCCAATGAAAGAGTAGCTCTTTTCACAAGGGCCTCAATGACTGGGTGTTTCCACTGATGGCTATCTTTTCACACTGGCAACATTTTAATTTAAGATCCTGGATCCACATTGGAGAAAAAAAAGCTAAAGATACTTACATTTAAATAAAATTAAAAGGAGGACCCATTTTTTAACAACAAAAAAATGTATATGCACAGTCCAAAAATCCCCAATTTTATATCAACAGAAGATATTACTGTTTTCCTTCCTGTAACGTGCATACTATATGAATGAAGGAAAAAATATTTTTTGAGCTTACTCCCCCCCACCACAGTCAAACATTTAAATAAAAATAACATCCTGGGGAAAAAAAGGAAAGAAATTCTCTTCCGATTGTCATAAATCTTTCTCTGACACTCTATCAGTAATTATGTGCCCAAGTTGAAAGGATTAATGATCCCTGAATGGAAATGACTATTCAGTTCTGTGGAGGCCACATCCCAAACAAGAACAAAGGGTAATAGGAATCCTCCAAGAGCAACAGAACAGTTATTTGATTGTAGAAGTTAAATGACCTAAGATCCATTTCGGGTAAGAATGATACAAAATGATCTCCAAGACTCAAGTTGGACATAAAAGGAAGTAATGACACGGTGCCAGGGACTGAGGCACTGTGTTTCAAAGTACCATGTTTCCCAACCTGTTCACAGGAGGGGATGGGATGCCTCTGCTGGAACTGCTGCCACAAATATGAACGGACAATTTAGAAGGCACAAAAATAAATTTTGAAGTTGTAATGGCAGGAAAATGCAGATTTACCCAAGTCTGCCAAAAGCATGCATTCTGAGCAGAGGGTGAATCAAGCTATTTAAATAAAAAAGCAGCCCCCACACCCTGAAAAGCCCCATGACGACACAACTGATCCCATAAAAGCCAAGTGTGCATTAGAGTGCAGAAGCAGGTCAAGGAAGGGAGCTCACTGGAAGACCAGACACCGGTTTAAAGAATAAGATTAAAAGCTGTCCACAAGCTGATTAAACTCAACAATTTAAAGTCTAACACATTTACTATAGATCACTGGGACATCTAGTGTCTCAAACAAATTCATAGCCTCTTTTCATGATCCTGAATTTATTCTCAACTCCTTTGTGATTTTAAAGATTTTAAATCAAATACATAGAGTACCCACATTTACCTGAAGTTAAAAAGCGGACAGAAAATCATACTGCACCAATGTGATAAAAGCACAGACAAATGCAAGGGAAAAATAAAGAATAAAATCAGAAGAGTGCTTCCTTGGAGGGAGAAAAAGGCGCTGCTGTTAGGGGGCATTACCCCGGACTTTTACTTGTTCCACACAGAATTAGAAAACATTCGTTTTCTCCAGGGTATTGTAGGGAGAGTACATATTGGGTATTTGTATTATTCCTTATACCATTGTTTTTATATTTGAAATATTCATGTTAATTTTTGAAGAACCAAAGCAAACAAGGCATCAGAAGTTTGGGCACAGAGTACTCTAAGGAAACAGAAAGAACAGGTCCATACTGCCAAATATACATCCCTACAAGGAGCTGGCTCTCACACAGGGAGGCCAAGACCCTTTGCAGAGTTCACAGCTCAAGTGGGTTGATTAAAAGGCAAAACCTTCCGGAGGGAAAAGAGAGAGAGTGAAAGCGATATATTTTATTCGCCTGTCTTTGAATACCAAATCACTATACCAGTTAACTGTTAAGAGGGAAGAGGGTGCCAGTCAACACCAGCATACCCTGCCAGTTTAATTTAACGGTATTATTTTGCCTTGCTTTGCAATTACTCCCACATTCCCCAGGGAGAAACTAATGGATTACTAAAAATAAAATGGAGATTAAGTGAATCACTTAGGATGTTTTGGCTCCCAATGTAAACTGGCTTAAACAAAAAGGAAATGCATTGGCTCAAATGCTTGGACTTCGGGAGGCCTCAGGGCTTGCTTCTCTGTCCTCCGCCCTGTGTGGCTTCTTGCTCAGGCTGCAGCCACAGCACATCTTGTGCCAGCACATAACAACATCCAGAAGAGAAAGAGAGGCAGGCTCTTCTTGTAGCCCTGTTTCAAGTATGAGAAGACTTCTGCCAGAAGTTCCTGGCAAAGCTGCCTTGGAGTCTCACTGACTAGGACAGGATTACTGGACCATTCCTGAATTATCCTTCTGTCCAGGTAGCACCCAACACTGGCTGACACTTTATCCATGATGAGTCAATTGTGGACAAAGCAGGGATGGGATTGACCCTAACCAGGGCCTATCCTGGAGTTCCTATATGGAAGATGGATGAGATGCATGATATGGATCTGCCCCTAATGTGTGCTCTGCTGGTACTGACTGGGAATAGCCTGAGCAAACATGTTTATCTGAAGGTGAAATTAATCACTATCATGATGAATTTATATATAAAAAATAAAAAATAAAAAAATAAAAAAATAAAGCTATAGACTCCAAAAGCAGAGGAACAAAAGAATTGATCCCTTTGAGAAAAGCAGATTTTTTAAAACTTTGTTTCTATATTTCCACTGCTCCAATGAGAAACTTAAAGACACAAAGTCAACACATTTTAAAGCAGGTAGGCCATAGAAAGTATAGTATAGCACTTACTATATTCTTGTGCCATGGCTGCAGAAATTTAGACAGTAGCATCCATATGAAGAATGAATAACCTGAAAAGATAAGAAAAATATAAAAGTTTTTAAAAACAGAAAAAAATAGCTAAGTGTACAAGAGATTTCATTAAAAGAAACAGTTGCAAAAAAAAGTTTTATCTTTTTTCTGAAAGAGGCAAACCAGCCTTTTGAAAGTAGACAGCTGCATTAAAATTAGAAGTTGAGAAAACAGGGGCACCTGTTTTCTGGGTTGAGTGTCTGACTTCAGCCCAGGGCATATCTCAGAGTGCTGGGATCAGGATGGGAGCCCCTTTTAGGGCTCTGGGCTCAGCAGGGAATCTGCTTATCCCTCTGTCCCACCTCCTGCTCTCTCTCAATCTCCCCCTTTCTCTCAAATAAATAAATAAATAAAATCTTTTAAAAAAAGTTAGTGAAACCATCTATAGTATTAGAATACCTTCATGTTCATCATCTGCATCTATTGTCAAACAAACTAAATATATTTTGATTAATTATATTTTGATCAACTAATACTGCCCTGGACCGCTATTTGTAAAACTGAAACAAAACCAGAATTATTCAATGGACCTCAAAAATCATATAGTCTATCCCCTAGAAAACATATCTACCCTATTCAAATCACTGCAAATCACAGTTAGATAAATCAGCTTCGATTTCGAAATTTCTAAACTCAGGGATATGAGAGAATAGGTCTCAGAATAAATACACCTATCAAATATTCGGTACTGCATGTTTATTAAAACTTTGACTATTCAGAATACCATGGAACAGTAAAGAAACATACTCCAGACTACTGGACCCAGACTACTCCAAGACTCTGGAAAAGTTATAAATATTCTAAGATGAGAACTCTGTCTCTATTCAGACCTTAGGACAAACAACAAAGTAGCAAATCACAAGGACTTAAAAACATACAAATCAATCTCTCCTATAATATTTCCTGGGGATAGTGTCCCTTGACAAGGCTGAGGATAGGCTCTGTCCACATATCTACAAATATCAGGTCTAATTTCACCTTCTTCAGTGAAAGTAAGTTCAACAATATCGTGGGCAGTAGTTTGTAGGGAAGAAAAGAACTTTTTCTCTACCTTTTCATGTTTAGTTTCTAGGGGCCTGCTAACTAAACTGATGAGGACAAATTAACAGAAGAAAAGGTTCATGTTTCTTCATTGATGTTAATATTTTTACACCCATGGGGATATCATAGAAAACAAGAAAAAAATGCAAAGAAGCAGTTTGACCCAGGGGCTTAAATACTACCTTAATAAGGGGCAATACATTGTGCAGAAGTGATGAGACAGGAAAGGGGGACTGGAGCTCCTAAGAATGATAAATTGTGGAAAGATGACCAGGAAATAAATGGTAAATAGGACTGTTCAGTAAGATCATGTAGACTCAAGTTTCTCCAGTGATAAGAATGGCTCTCCTCTTCCTGGTAGAGAGATGGGATGTACCTTTATAAATGGAAATTTATGCCCTAATTTTCAGACAGGAAGCCTGAAGGGGGGGGGGGGCACACGACATGACACAACACACCACACACACACACAACTCGTCTTGCATCTGCTATTTCTCAATTTCCTTCACTCAAAATAATCCTTGTGCCAAGTGGCATATTTTGGGGTGGCATATTCTGATGATCTTCATTCAGGTTCATAGAAATGAAAACACCATTAAAATAATAATGGTGCAAGTCTCAGAATGGAAGAAAATACTCGCAACACATAGATCCATCAAAAAATTAGTTTAGAATATATAAAGAACTCTATAAAAAGGCCACCTAAACAAGATACCCAAATGGTCAATAAGCATATGAACAGGTCCTGAACCTCATTCATTTGTTTACTACAAAATAAAGCCACAATGAGATGAAATTACATACTGAGTAAGATGGCTAAGACCAAAATCTGACAATACCAAGTCTTAAGGATGTAAGCAATTCAAATCTCATACATACAATGCTGGTGGGAGGGTAAACTAGAAAACAGTTGAAGAATCTAATAAAGCAGAACATAAACTTACAATGTGGCCCAACAACTCCACTCCCAGGAAAATGCCTACCAGGAATGCACATGCCTAGCCCCCAGGACACACACACAGTAATAGTCAAGCATTAATTTTAATAGCCAGGGATCCCTGGGTGGCGCAGCGGTTTGGCGCCTGCCTTTGGCCCAGGGCACGATCCTGGAGACCCGGGATCGAATCCCACGTCGGGCTCCCGGTGCATGGAGCCTGCTTCTCCCTCTGCCTGTGTCTCTGCCTCTCTCTCTCTCTCTCTGTGTGTGACTATCATAAATAAATAAAAATTTAAAAAAAAATTTTAATAGCCAAAACTCAGCAACAAATAAATTGTCAACTATTCACACAGAAAATATTACATAACAGAGGTTAGTATGCTTTGTCTGCAAGGGCCAAACAGTAAATATTTTTGTTTTTTCAGACCATCTAGTCACTGTGCCCTGTTGCAACTACTCAACTTTGCATTTGGAGTGCATTTACATAGACAACATGTAAATGAATGGGTGTGGCTGTGTACTAATAAAACTTTATTTACAAAAACAAGCAACCAGACCACACACTGTAATTGGTCTGCCATACAATAATACATATAAATGAATTATAACTAATACGACAGATGAATCTCAAAAACAACATTGAAACAAAGTAGCCACACACAAGAGAATACACTATATGATCCATTTTATGAAGTTCAAAAATAGGTAGACCTATGTGAATTGGGATAAAGTTACCTTAGAGATGGGAAGAGGGAGAAGAAGAAATCAGAAAGGAGTGGAACAGGGAATTTTGGTGGGGCTAGTAATACTGGACTCCCTGATATGAGTGGTGGTTTTTGTGATCATGTTCAATTTGGGAAAATTCATCATAGTGCTCACATACAGTTTACTTATCTTTATATGTATTACACTAGAATAAAAAAAAATTTTTAGTATTTTTTTAAATAAAAAAAAGAATACAGGCCAGTAATGTAAGTGGACACTCCCTCAAAGCCCAGGCTCCCTGGACATCAACTACTCTGAGCAGTAGGATGCCTTGAGCCCCCGCAAGGGATGATCCTGAAGCCACCCCCCACCCCCCCCACACACACACACATTATCTTGTGTGATGTCTGCCCAACAACCAAACCTCTGTTCTGAGTTCCAGGTCGGGTTGTGGAGATGAACTGTGATTAGACAAAACACACAGGAGTGGCAGGAAAGGAATGCAATCCGGAGGGAAGGAGGAAACTAACAGATGGTGGATGAAGAGACTGGTGGATATAAGCCCCACATTTTAATATCATCTGCTGAATAATCTAAACACAGAATATAAATCCATGAGCAGCTTAGAAACACAGTTTGGAAGGTCACTGAATTTGCCCTTTGGATAAAAATAATGAATTTAAAAGCTAACTAGGGCTCATAAAATAGTGTTGATTTGTTTTCAATAGATTTGTTTTCAGGACAATTTCTTCCAGCTTCTCAAGTTGAGGAAGCAAACGTGACAGATAAAATAGTCTTGACTTTCTAGATCTGCATACTTCAAACAGTATCTATATCTTGACTTCATCTTAACCATTCATACCATGTCTAAAATTTAATTAGATATTTAACATTCCAGGGATCAGAGGAACCTATTAAATTACCAGGGTTATGCCCAAATAAATATATTGGGAAAGGCAGAAAATACAAAGATGCAATGGACAACAAGATCATGGGCATGTCATAAGGATACATATTCTCCTTTTGGTGTCTATATCATGAATGAAATAAAGAACAAAGGAGTAGAGAAAACTTGAACAAAAGAAAGTGAAATCCATTTACTATCCTGCATTTACTGCATAACTGGTATGTGCAAGGAACTGACCTAGATGCTGGAAATTCAAGATAAAGTTCCTGTCTTTAAGGAGTTCAGTCAGAAAGAAGCTGACAAGCCTATGCATCAATAATTTAAGTTAAATGTCATAAGTTACACAGTATTCATAAGTGTGATGGAGCTAGAAATTAACAGAAGAGAATTATGGAGGAGGAGGAGGAGGATGGGGAGAAAAGGTGAGGACAGGAAGTCTTCCCATACATAGTGGGTAAGAGCCAAAACGGGTTTTGAATTTCAAAAGATGAGCAAGGTAAGAAGAGGGAGAAGAACAGAGGGAGAGAACATGCAAAGGCAGGAGTCAGCCAGTCATATCTGAGGAGTAACAAGAAACTTTCAGCAGCCAGAACATGGTGGACAAGGACAAGCCAACATGGAGATGGCAGAGGAACCTGTTAATTATACTAAGTTGGAATTGTATTCTGCAGACATTACAAAGCCACCAGGATAGGAAATGGGGGGTGGGAATGGAGTACAAGGAATAGAGGGGAGTGACAGGTCTCCAAATATACCTTCTTGTCTAGTTTTGAAATCCAGAAACACTGTAATACTTCACAAAATCAAGAAAAGTAAATAATTAAAATCAACCTGTACATGGGGATAATTCAAAATGAAACACAGTGACAAATGGACTGCATTATAAATGCACAACATAACCATACTTAAGGAAATGCTGGGGAGGAAACTAACCTAGCTCTTTGGAGACCACTATCTTGACTACATACTCCGAGGCTAGAGACAAAACAAAGAAAGTAGAAAGACCAGAATAAACTCTACGGTGTTGAACTCAAGTCAGAGATACTATGCTTTTTAATATATATATTTCAACAGATAATGATAGATAAAGGTATGCCTTGGAGAAACTGTGGGCTCAGTTCCAGACCACCACAAGAAAGCTAATATTGCAATAAACCAAGTCAAATAAATTTTTTGGCTTCCCAGCAAAAACAAGTTACTTTTACACTACACTATAGTCTATTAAGTGTGCAATAGCATTATACATACATTAACTTAAAAATAGTTTATTGAAAAATGCTAACCATCATTTGAGTTTTTATTGAGTTGTAATCTTTTAGCTGATGAAGATCTAGTCTTGATGTTAATGGCTCCCTATTGATCAGGGTGGTGGATGGCGAAGGTTAGGGTAGCTGTGGCAATTTCTTAAA